TGGCTACACCTTTTTCATGAAGAAATCGTTTGATCTCATCCGAAATGAATGATGAGCCACGATCCGAATGTACGAAACTTGGCGGGGCCAAATGTGCGAACAGTGGCTCAAGGCATGATATCACCGTAGACGAACTGATATTTGGACATGCATAGGCGAACGGAAAACGGGAATATTTGTCTACGATCGTCAGTAGATTTTTGTTTCGAGTCGTCGAAGGCAGTGGTCCCTTAAAGTCAATGCTTAAGCGTTCAAACGTTTGTGTGGCTTTAATGAGGGTACCGCCAGATGACTTGAAGAAACGTGGTTTTAGTTCCGCACACACTTGACACTGCTTAATGACGAGTCGGATATCCTCTAGGGAGAATGGTAGATTCTTGGCACGAACGAAATGCATCATGCGTGTTGCTCCAGGATGACACAGGGTTGTGTGTAAGCGTTTTAGATCCAGGTTAGATGAAGTGTTCGCACAGACACTTCGAGAAAGCGTGTCAGCAGCTTTGTTTTCTATGCCTGGTCTGTAGGTAACGTCAAAAGAAAAAGGCGACAACTCCATCCGCCACCGTTGGATTTTGTCATTTTTTATTTTCCCTTTTTGTTGTGTTGAGTACATGAATGCAACGGATCGCTGATCAGTTATGATTTTAAAATGGGTCCCGAGTAGGTAATGCCTCCATTTGCGCACTGCTTCGACAATTGCGCAAGCTTCTTTCTCAATAGCGGAATGGTGTTTTTCGCTGGCAGACAGTGTACGTGAGAAGAATGCGACCGGTCTGCCATCTTGATTGAGTGTAGCAGAAATCGCGACATCAGATGCATCAGTTTCGAGCACCAAAGGTATTCTCGGGTCGATAGTGACCAAGGCTGCATCCATCAACTCCTTTTTCAAACTTTCAAATGCTTTTATAACAGATTCAGGGACAGGAAAGGTTGTATTGTGAGTGATTGGGTAGATCTTATCCGAGAAACGGCTTATCCAACGAGAATAGTACGCGAACAATCCTACCACTCGTTGTTGAGACTTGATGTCGTTCGGAACGGGCAGTTCTTGCAATACCTTGAAGCGTTCAGGGTCTGGTTTGATGACACCTTCAGTAATTTCATAGCCGAGGAGTCTGAGCTTAGTGGTGGAAATCGTGCTTTTATCGTGATTTAACTGAAGGCCGTACTTTTGTGCTACGGTGAGGAAAAGCTGGAGGTTTCGATCATGTTCTTCTTGATTCTTTCCACAAATGGTAACATTATCCACATACGCATATGTCCCGGTAAGTTGTTCGGCGCGTATT